TTATTTATATTTTTTGAAGTTGAATCATGATCTAACTTATATTCAACGTCTCATTTGAAAGAAGACAGAAAACTGAACAGAATGACTCATTTTGTTTTCAAAAAATGTTTGAGTTTGCAGTTGAAAAATATTGTATGTTAGACCGTTGTACGCCGCAGTGCCAACTCTACACATGTCTTTACATGGCAGGAAAGCTTCTTTTTCACCATTTCCTTTCCGGAGAAAAGGCGGAGTGTTAACTGATTCCCCTTCGAGTTTAGAGAAGCAGACGATGATTTACACTTTTTCATTTGTAAAATTTTTCTTCTAAACTGATGTTACATTAATATGAGACAAGAAAAGAAACTTCTTTTTTGTTATATTTGCGAAAAAAATTATTCTTGCGATGTGCCACACGTGTTATCTGCACAACAGGAACTTTTTCCCGGATATAAAAAGGGACTGGATATACAATTCGTAACCGCGTGATTACAACGAGCACATGCGTCGAAAAATGAAAACGGCAGCCCTTAAAATAGGTAAATCACAGCTGTAAACTGAGACAGTTAGTTTTTTCTCAAGTTTTTAAAATTATGACTCACATGACCATCCCCAACTGTTAGCTTTACATTTGTTTTTCGCATAACACTCATCGTGCCAATCGCAGCATTTGCCTTTTGGACCACAACTTGGCGGAAAATTACCGTCACAACCACGTTTATCCCTTGGCTGAATAACTGTGATGAATTCATCATCTTGCGGGACAACAGTTTTTGGAGACCTACCATTAACCATGGATAATACTAACAGTGAACCAATCAAAAGAATCATCGGTAAACGCATCATCATCTTGCCAACAGATCAGTTATTAACTAAATTTAAGTTAGTAAATTTATTCTTTAAGAGTACTTCTCTTTCTCCTCTCAGAAATACGAAATTTTTGTAAACCAATCAACATTGAGCAGAGTCCATTATTGAATAGTCCAAGATATCTGCCGTCAGAATCCATGATAATAAGACCTTCATGGAAGGTTTCTGCAGAGTTTCAGGAAGTTTTCCGAAAGCGCTGAATAACTGACTTTTCCATTAATTGTAAAAGCGAGAGAAAAAGTATTTCTAAAGTGACTTGGTTGTAGAGCGAACATTTCGGATCAAAACGAGATGTCTTCCAACTCTAGGAGAGATTTTAAAGAGAAGCTCTAAAATATTCATTGTACAATAGCACTGCATTATCTTAAAGCGAATTTCGCCGTCACAGAACTTCGAAGCTGCAGGATTTCTCAGTAATGACGCGGTATAAAGAGCTGGTGTTGATCTTAAAATGAAGCTAGGTCTCAGCGCTACAACTCAGAAGCGTCGGACGTTTAATTTTCAGTTTGATTTTTGAGATAAATAAAGATTTCACAAAAATGTAGTCTCGATTTTTCCAACTTCTTTTACAAAAAAACTTCAAAAATCCGGCCACGTGAAGTTGTGGCGCTGAGTCTTGCTACATTTTGACATTACTCCGAAGTCTGTATCATTAAAATTGTATGAGAAATCTCTTGCACACGAACACTTACTTTTCGACCCTTCATATTACGATATAACTCTTGGAGAACTCAATATTTCCAGCTCAATTTTTTGTGTTATCTGTCTAAGGTCAGGTACACATTCTGTGAAAATTCCATTAAGATCCGATGTTCGGTGACAAAAATACGTTTTTGACAGTGTAAGAATTCTTACATGGCTTACCGGTTTCCCAGCTACTGTTTTTGTTGACAAAATAACGATTCTCATTATCATCGCTAAGTATTTATACACAGTTGTCTCCTCAATGAAAATCTTAATCCTTGTTGTTCTGAGCTTTAATATGTTAATATCAGTTAATACTATTTACAATTTTAAGCTTCCAAAATATTCAAAAAATATTTATCGAGGATCTATTTCTCTTTTGTGTTTTGGATCAACCAAAGGAAAACATTTGCTTTCCATGTATTCTCGAAAAATCTATTAAATTTAAAGATCGTACAGAAAGACCTTTTTGCTGTTTTCTCTTCGATTAAAACATGTAGATCGGTTATAAAAAGTGTTGGCGAAAAGATCTTCTTTCATCAAGCTAAAAACTATACATTTTTTCGATGGAAAAAGCGAATTTTCATGAAACGGGTGGTCCAGATTAAATTATCGATTTTTGATAGGCTGTTTTCTCAAGCTAGAAGCCACCAGAAAGTTTAGTTCTGATACTAAAAGATGGAGAATTTTTGTGTGAAATGATGAGTTTCCAACTTCCCGTAAGACGATTAAAATTCCTGTTGTGTTAATAAAGCTGCAAAACAAGAACAGTACAGAATTGAAGTTAGTGTTTATAACTTGAAAAGCAGTTATTTTTCTTTGGAAATTCCAAGGGGAAAAGGCGACTTTTTTCTTCCTTAGTATCGGATGCTGAGCATCTCAAGCTTCGCAAAGCATATTTCAAGGGCTCCTGAAATCTCCCAAAGCCGCCTTTCTCTCCTCGAAAAATTCTCTTGAAGAAGAGAATAACTGCTTCTCAAGTTATAAACTATTCAGATACACATAGTACTCACACCGAAAGGCCATATTTCCGCCAGAAAGTCGTATGTTCTAATAAGTCAGACTTCTGCTGCCAGACATACTTGTTGTATCAGGTCGGCTGTAGGCCTCCTAAAATTAGTGCAGCCGTTCAATGGCATACAGTTGGCTATTGTCTTTTCCATGAAGAAACACATCGAACCAATTTTTAAGCGTTGTCTTATAGGTGAAACATTTTTCTCCTTTTGAAACGTCGTAAAAACTGCATTATTGCAGCCCAGAAACGGCAAGAAAATACACATTTCTTACGAATGTTTTGACAAGATAGCAGCTTTCTTTATGATATTCTTATGATGAGAAAGCGTCGCACGACTTTTTTTATTACTACTACTATCGATCCATAAATACAGTGCAGAGTGGCGTTTTTCGAATAACTTTTTATGGAAAAGTCCTAGCGATCTACGGTTTTTACCATCGTGTAGAGGACGATTTTTGCCCTTAGAAAAATAGTAA